GCACAGGGTTGAGTGTATAACATGAATTATTTCACTCATCTCTCACAATGGCCCTAGTGAGGTGTCACTACAAGTCCCATTTTACAGATGAGGAAACAGACTTGGACAGGTCCAGGAATGTGTCCAGTCACAAAACTTGTTCACTGAAATGCCTCTTGACCCTGGGTATGTCTGACTGCAAAGTTGGTGCTTATAAATCCCAGGGAATGTGAGACCCGTCTGAAATGATTTGGCCACACACACTGGCTGGGTAACCAAGGCCCAGAAGCCTGGAAGAGAACACAGTGCACCAGTTCTGAGCTGCAGATCTTGCTTCTCAAAGGCTATAAAAGAATCTTAACCCGTAATTCTTTTATGTACCTGGAGGGTTTCCATCATGGTGGCAGGAAGCTGGATCATAGCTAATGTCATCCTTTGGCAGTGATCATAACTCACTTTGATAATTACTAACCTGCTTGCCCAAGGATGCACAAAGTCCCATCATGGACAAGAGAACACGGGTTACAAGCCGCCTGCAGGCTGTCTTCTCCAAACTAAGCACTTTTACTGTTGTAGTCGGAAATACACCATCTCTCCATTGTTCACAGGACAGCACTTTACAATATTATGTCAGTGTTTACCAAGTGTGAAGGCAACTTCTTTATAATTTCTGAATTTTCAATTTGAACCAGATCCAGGCATTTTCTAATTGCTATTTTGTTCTCTCCCATTGGAATACATTTCACTGTGGGAAACATATCTTGGAAATTTCTAACACATCTTCATTTCCCTCACTGTGTCCTTTTGGTCTGTTCTAGTTATTTACTCTCTCCCCTGTCCCTCCCGTACCCCAACTGCTGTCAGCTTTGAACCAACCTGTGCCATCCAAAAATGCTTGAACACTTCAGTGGGAGAAGGGCTTCAGATGCTGAGGTGGGAACACATTTAATTCCAGGGGCCAGAATGCCTGGCTTCCCAACTTACCTCTCCTGCTCAGAGCACTGTGACCCAGGGGCAGGTAACTCAGCCTCTCTGAACCTAATGACTTACCTGGGAAATGGGGCTAAGGAGAGTACCTGCATTGCAAGGATTTTGTTGTCTTCATAAGGTTGTTACGGGACTGGAATGAGCTCATACATAAGCTCCTCAGCCACTGCCTGCTATAGTGGGACTCCCACAAATCAATTATTTCTATGTGTTGTTGCCTTAAAATCTATCTGAGCCTCAGCCTCAAGCTTGTTCTCCAAGACACAGGGGTGAAGGAGAGCCCTGGATGGGGAGAAGTTTGCTCGCCACCCACAAGCTAGTGACATGGCACCCCTTGGGTCTTCTCTGCAGAAGCTGCTCCCCTCTGCTCACCGGGCAGGAGTAAGGGAGCGGGAGTGGGCGTTTACGGCACACCTTTCTGGTGCAGGACATAGCTACAAGAGGAACTCTACCTAACAATTTCAAAAATTGTGACCTAGCTGTATTCTCATAATAACCTGAAATTAAAAAAAAATTTTTTTTAAATGGAATTGAAAATACAAAGAAATAAATAGCCAGTGGAAAACTTAAAAAAAGATGAGTACCCTCCAAAATGCAAGTGTCAGGGTTGAAATCCCCATTCTTGTAGTTCTCTGTCTGGGATGCTTCCAGATATCTCAGCAGATGTTGGTGAAAAACAAATGTCTCTCATTTGTATTTGAAAGGGAATCCAGAGGGATAACATTCCTCCGTTAGGGCAAGCTTCCTAAGGGAGGCCAGGCCGCTGCTCCATCAACCCAAGTTCCTTCAGCACCTTGGACAGTGACACCTCTCCCTTCCCGGGGCCCTTTCCCACGCCCAGGCTTCTTTTCACTGCTAAGTTATTTCTCAGGAAGAATCGTGAAGCTGGCACGGAAGGGAGGGAATCCCTGTTGCCCAAGGTCATTGACAGGATAAATTCTACTACTTTCATGGAAACCTACACATGTGTGTTTTATTTCTCATTCCTACAATGTCATTTCTCATCTCAAAACCCTCGGGTGGTTTCCTGCACTCAGAGGAAAAGCAGAAGTCCCAGGAGACTCTACCCACCTGGCCCCACCTCTCCCAACCCTCTCCCTGCTCTCTCCACCCCAGGAATTTTTGAATTCTCACTGATCCTTCTCAATGATGCCTTCCCTGACTGCAGTGGTGGAAGCTGCGGCCCCATCTCCTCCTTCTTTGCCATTTCTCCTCATCACCTTCACATTATGTATGTAAACAGACCAACAATTTCAGGGTGCCGTCCTCACTGCCCCATTCCCAGTGGCTAGAACACTCTCCCTGGCACACAGTAGGTGCCAACAAATATGTGTCAACCAGTACATTAATAAATAAATGAACTAGGGGACAATCTCATAAAGTAAGTAATACTAGCCTCATTTTATGGGTGATGAAACTTGGGCTCAAAAAGATCATAGGAGCTTGAGCAAAATGGCATGCCTGAGAGGTCAAGGGCCCGAGGTGGAGCAGAGTGGTGTGGCCCTGGGTCTTCAGTGCCTCCCAAGGCCCCTTATGTATTCTCCACACACACACATGCTGGGTTCCCTCTCCCCAGGTACTCATGGCCCTCATAAGTTCTTTTCCTCCAGGAAATTCTCTCAAGATAGAACATGAAACTGTCACATTCAGGTAGGGTTGACTGGAATTAACCCCAAAGTTACCCATCTCTTGGGATGCCTGCATTCCAAGGGCTTCCAGAGCTCTGCCTGATACATTCTGCTTGATGGTGAAATTCTGGCTTCCACCAGTAGCCCCTGGTGACGAGGGGCAGAAAGTTACCCCAAGCCCCTGCTCCATCCCACACAGCCTGTGGAAACCAAAGCCCGTGACTGTCTGGGGCCTGCTGTGTTGGGGCCCCCTCTCCCCCAAAGTCAGGTGGCCACCTTGGTCACCTCTTCCATGATACCTCTAAACACAACTTAAAAGTAATTTTTTTGTCTTAAACACTTTATTCCTAAAATCTTAGCAAAATCTACATTTTTTTCTCAAAAAGCACATTTTCCTGCCTGCCGGGTTTTCATCTGCTACAATTTTTAGAGTGCAAATACCTTTTCACAGGCCTTTTCCCCCTGAGGTTAAAATGGTATTTTAGATCCAGAAGTGGGAAATGAATTTTTCCAATTATGTGTTTGGTGCTTTATTATTCTAACCAATTCGTGTGAATGCAAATGCTAGAAAATTAGGAGTATCCCCTCTGAAATAACAGTCTTTTCTCTTCTGTGTACAGATGGCCCAAGGACACCACACTGATCGCAAATTTACTAATGCAATAACTAGTTTTCTACTTCGAAGGAGTAAATAACACCTATCAGGCCATCTAATCGCCTTCCACACCAATGACACTAGACAGAGAAGAAATCCTGATCCCCTGACAAGCCTCTGTCTGGGGTTCTGCATTTTACTGGATGTACATTGCCTGCCACCCACTCAGCCCCACAGTGCTGCACAGCCAGGGAGAGCTGCTGAGACGTGGATCTATTTGTTGCTCCAAGAGGGGTCCAGTCTTGGGGTAAAGGGTGAGGACAGTGGAGCTGCCACCGGCCGATCACTCAGATTTTTAAAGCTGTCCCCCTAGGAACAAAGGCAGAGGCCACAGTGACAGAAGCAAAGGCACATAAGGCTTGTTAGTCCTGCACCTGCCTGAGGACACCGTCACTTCACCCGTGCCCACACACACAGTGACGGGGGAAACAGAATCATTTTTTGGTTTAAAAAGGATACATCTACTGTGAAGGTTTTTGCTTACTGTTTCAGATATTTCTTAAAAATCTGAATCATCTCAGCCAACTCTGTGGCTCCTAGGCAGGGGGACAAATGTCAGTACTTAGCAGGTAAGGACTGCACCAGCTCCTGGAACACCTCTGGGATGACATCTCATTCCAACACCTGCACAAAAGTCTCCCACCTGCCCGGCTGCCTCTGCCCTAGGAACAGAGGTGGTGGCCACGGTGAAGCCCTGGACTGGTGGGACCCGTCGGGGGGGGTAGGGGGTGCCGTGGGCCCTGCAGGTGTGACTGTGACTATGACCAAGGAAGGACCAGGCCTTCATGAAAGTCAAAAGCAAACACACAAGACCTTTGGAGACCTCAGTTTCTTCCAGTGAGTACCTAGCACCTTCACCAACACGACATATTTGAAGACTGCCTTTTGTACACATAGATTTATTAGCGTTATGATTTTGAAATAACGTATCAACCAAAGGTGCATTATCCTGTCTACAAAGGCAAGGTCAGGGGAGTTGATGCCCGTGGTGATGGGTGATGGGTCTTTCTTGGGAGACATTAGCACAGTCTGGGGGAGCAGTTTCCAAAACAGCTTCCACGCTGAATGGGGCAGCCAGCAGTCTCCCCGTCATCAGCCTTGTTACTGACAGCATTTCTGTGTTTAAAGATTTAAAAAGGCAGCAAATTTCCAGGACAAAACAACAATCCATACATAAGTATATTTGGAATTGGAAAAAGGAAACAAGAATTACATCTCAGGGGCTCTGGGTGATGCATGCTCCTGGTACCAGTTAATAAATTGTCTCACACAGTCATGCCGTTTTAATTTTACAAGACTCTCTTAGAAGTGGAAATAGCACATCCCCCCAAATTGGCCTCGCTAAGTCATTTGAGAAAACTATATCAAAAGGTTAACATTCTGAAGTAGTCAGTATTAGGATATTACAGGCAGGGAAAAAAAATCGTCCTTTGTCCTGACTGTAAACATGCTCACACTTTCTGGCCAATTTAAGATGAAAGCAAACGTGTCTGTTCCCATCTGGGAAAGTCACTCACTGACCACATCAATAGTTTTTTTCTCTCACAAGTGGCAGTCTGAGACAGGTTTACATTTTTTAAAACTCAGTTTACTCTGTACCAGTGAGGAGAGGAAAGACAGTTGGGAACCGAGAGCAAACCAACACTCGGCAGTGACAACACAGCTGACTCTGAGCACATCAGTTACACTCGGTGACAACACGGCTGACTCTGAGCACATCAGTTACACTCGGTGCCGGCCAAGGCTAATTCCTAGAGTCCTTTGCACATTTATTCACGATTTTGCTCTTTGAAAGGAAGTTTTTTTCCCCCCTGTGCCGACTCCATTGCGAAAGGATCTCTTCATAAATGGCCTCTCCAAAAGTGGCTTCAGAAAGGCTAGCCCCTCTCTCCTGTCCAGCCTGGTTGGGCAGCTGTTCAGCAGCGTGAGAAAGAAATCAGATTTTCCCAACACCTAGCGATTCAGATGGGGGAGAAGGGAGAGAGTACAGCATCAGGGTTAAACGTTTATTTCAACGGTAACAATTGTCAAAATCCTAGGGCAATATACCCAATATATGCAATCTTCTTAAAGGCATATGTTTTGCTAAGACACAATATATATTTTATCTGGATACAAAATATTATTTGGAGTGATATACCCACTTGTCTAATTTTTATGCTACTTACTAATTGCTGCTATTCAGTCTTCATCCCCTGCACCATATCTTTTTGCTGTTATTCTACGAAGAATATTTCAAGTGGCACTAATTAGAGAATAGTTTTTAAGATTCATTTAGAAAACAACCCGTGACGATCAGACTCCAGACTTCAGACAGAAGCACTTTCCTTCTGGGGCTTGTCCTGGGCCATTTGCCAAGTTCTCCATGGAGTTGTCTGTTCCTTGGACATCGGTGCCTTGTCTTCTGACTTTGCTTCAGTTCCTCACTGGTGGCTCAGGGCTGGGACAGTGCAGGGCAGTGTGTGTGGGAGTTGGGGAGAGGGAGTGCTTAGCAGTAGGTTTGGAATCTTAGAGCTTAAGTTGGCCTCCAATAACCTGAAATTCAACCCCATATTTTGCAGATGGAGAAACTGAGAGCAAAAGCTTATGTGCCCCAAGTAACAGGGGTGGCACATCCAGGGGCCGTCCTGACCCAGGGTCTGGGTAGGAACTGTCAACACTCACCATTGTTTCCCTCCTGCATGGTTGCAGAAGGATTTCAACACACTGACAAGGTGTTAATACAGATTTCACCAGTAACAAAAACAAAGATTTATCCGTGATCTCTGGGCTTCACGCATTAAATGCATCCCTTTATTATATTCCAAAAAAAAAGCTCTACAAAGTAGGTACTATTATTTCCTCAGTATTAAATGAGGACACACATGGCTTGTAAGCAAAGCCTTTCAAGCTGCAGAATCTAACTCCAAGCCTGGGCTTCTAGACTCTTCCAGAAGGACCAGAGGAAGGAGATGGACACTTATTTTTTTTTAACAAACAGACATATTACAAAGTAAAAATTTTTGTTTTTCTATCTTAGTCTGGGTAAATAAGTTTGGTCTCGGGCTCCTGTACTTGGAAGTTGAAATGGGGCTGGAGTGCAAGAAATATTCCCTATGGTCCTCCCTGAGGACTGGATGGTTTACCAGAGAGGCCATAGTCAGGGCTCCTGGGCAACCATTCCCACTGAACACTATGGAAATAAAAAAATTAATGCCCCCCACCCTCAAGAAGAGTCAAGGAGTTTCAAAAATACTGTTCCTGAGAAAATCAATCAAAAACTTTTAGTTGAACCTTTCCGTGTGTTAAGAGAGGAAATCGGAACACGCTGGAGAGAATGTCTCCCATTTTAGATCCTCAGCAGGGAGGGCCTGTGACTCACTGCAGGAAGGGAAGCAAGCCAGTTCTTTCCAGAAATACTCATGATGCCACCTTTACACTGCAAAAGAAATGTATCAGTTCTGGTTATCGGATTCCTAAAACACCTCTAAACTCTCCTCAAAATATACTGATGCACTTTGCTGATAGCTGAAGGCATCAGCTCTTGCCAGGGCAGACTTGTTAACAGAATAATGTTGTCTGTGTGCCTGGTTGGTGGACTTTATGAAGTTCATGACAAGTATTAGAGAAGCCCGTACGTCATTCGTCTGTACGATCATTTACTCTAAGCCGTCAAATCAGCACAAATGCCGTCCACACCATTACAGCCTGACAGGGCAATAATGAGAACAAAATTAGCACTTGTAGAAACAGAAATATCAAAAACACAGGGAATGGAGAGGCATTTCATTTGTGGGCAAGGTGGTCTCATAAGTATTTTAGACTAAAGTACATTCCCAACTTAAAAAGAGAAAGCTGCAGACAAGTCTCTCTCATTCAGTAGAAATGTCAGGAGCCAACCTCTGGGGAAAGAACGGAAGTGACTAGGAAAGCTCTGGAGAAAACGCATCGATTTGTGGGTTGTGACTCATCACCCTGGTCAGTGTGGTGTCTCAAGGAATAGATGACTAAACTGGTGTTGAATGCTCACAGGAAAAAAAAGAAGCTATATTAAGTAAACAAGAGGTAGAAAAATGACAGATGCCAAGATCAGGGAGAGCAGCATAGAAAGAACAAGATCATCATTTCTGGGCACACGTTTATAATTAAGGGTTTATGTGACATCTTTTTATCCTAAGAGCAGTTTCATCAATTGCATCGATTTCAGTAATTATATTGCGACAGGTTAAATTTTAGTGAAAAAAAAATTAAAGTTCAAAATGTCATCAGTGGCAATAGATATATTAAAACTTAAAAATCTTGACATGAAACAACTGAAATATCACAGAGAAACAGTATCACATGTTCCAAAGAAAGACATTTATTTTCTGAATGTCTGGAAAAGTTCAGTGAACACAGAATCTCAATCAATGCTGTTGAGTAAATACAGGAATTAATATTTCATGTGATAGTTTATTGAGATCTGACATTTTGCCTACATTCTGCATTGGAAAAAAAGTCCCTAATATTGTAAAATGAGGACATTCAGTGCTTTTGAAAAATGATCATTGTGTTTTTAGTATAGTGTCAATGGTTAAATCGTCATTTCGAGCATGGGTGAATGCATATAGAACAAATAATTTTTTTCGTGGGCAAAAATATCATTCACATTTTATACTGAAATGAGTATTTTCCCGCGTGGAAGGCAACCTTTAAACCATTCACAACAAAGTCCACTATTACTTATACTTACATAAATGTTTCCTTTTCCTAATTCTTAAATCTGCTTAAATTTTTTAACGCAAACTCTAATAATGAAGGACGGTGCTTTTCTGGCACATGTTCCCTGAGATTGTTTTGAATTTATAGACTCTACAAGTCTAGTCATCTATTCAAACATCAAAAATATAAGCCCAGCCCTTACCTCAGATGATGGAGTAGGGTGACACCACAGCACGGCCATCGTGGACAGCAGCAGAATGAAGACGAGACTGATTTTCAATGAGCTGCAGAACGGGGGGGAAACCACAAATATTTAGTATCATCTGGGCAAGTATAAGTAAAAAAGCATATAAAAATTCAACACTTTTCTTTGTGGAAAAATTCAGCTTTTTACCCAATCATCCTGGCCTTCCCCCAATCTGTGCAGATAGGTAGTTGTATTGCCAAATTCCTCACACTTACTGTCAGATCCTCCTTGGGTGGGCCTTTTATACCAGAAAAGTTCTGGAGTAAAAATGTCATCATGTCCCATCCCGTGTGACTAATTGGCCTGACTGTGGCCTTTTGTTCTCGTTAAGTATGAAAAGGACAGTAACATACAGGCAGTGTCACTGAGCCACCAGCTCTTGACTGCATTTAGCATTTGCCATTAACGACGTCCTTCAAAAGCATTGTCACCTGGACGGCATCATTGTGACATAGATGGCCAGAGGTCCCAGAAGGAAGCTGAAGTTTTTCAACTTAGCATTTAAATGCTTAAGAAAAATGACATTATTTCCTTGAATGTCCCAGACATCTTATTTCAGAGACTATCACAAAAGAAATCCCGACCAGAAAGAAGAACATCGGCCAGGCGATGTACGCAGATTGTTTATGTTTGCTGCACAAGATGCTCTTCCTGCAGGATTTCAGCAGTTAAAGCAGGGAAGTCAATGTTACTCTTTCCACTAGTCATGTAGCTGAAGGAAGGACACTGTGGCCGCCCCTTCCCATGTGCATCCCCGACGCCTCCCGTGCAGGGTTCTGGGAAAGCCTGCCTGCCATGCCACCTTTCCCCCAAGGGTGAGGGGTTTTCTGGGAAGCTTCTGCTGCCCTTGCACTTCAGTGGACATCTGCATTAATAAATGGACTCGGGAGCTCTGAGTGTGAACAGATGTTGCTGAGGCGTACAGTGGAGAAAAATACCAAGGGAGGCGCTTTATGCTTGGATGACTAGTGTTTCTGAGATGGTGCCAGCGTTTTTTAATACAAAGCAACCGAGGATAGTCCCTCCTCCTCAAGGTCGCACCTTTTGGAGGACAAAGCTGCCCTGTGTCTGGGGCATTCTCTGCCTGTTTGTCGGGGCTGCATTCTTCCCTTGGGGAACTGATATTCAGATGATTTCATGCAGTTGTCAATCATATAGTGACAGTTTGCCTGTCACAAAGAAAAGCAGGTGACCCAGACCCTCAAGTGAACCTGGATCATGGGGTTAGCACCAGGCTAGGGGCTGGGGCAGGCAGCCTGAAGACCTTTGCTCAGAGTTCTCTTGGGAACTCATGTGGACGCTGAGAAACAATAGGCCTTGCCGGAGGGACTGCGCACACACCCACGTTTCAGTTCTCTGTAAATGCAGCCCCTTCAGGTCCTCCACCAAAGTGAGTACGTAAACTCAAGCAGCACAAAACACGAGACGCACAGGATAAGTATTCAAAATAGACACACGGGATAAAGCCAAAAGGGATAAAAGGAGATGACAGCAACAATGTTTTGGCAAGTGATGAACAATTGACCAGGTAGATCTGAAAAAGGTACTTAATAAAAGACCCTCAACAGACTCAAAATGTTATGAAGACAGTTAATTTCATACTACATGTAGTGAAGGTGACACCAAAAAGAAAACAAAAGGATGAAGTCTAAGTTTGTTTAAGAATCATCTCTATCAATACCACAGCCTTTCTCCAATTTCCATTTCCAGACACCACCTTCTCCCTGGACTTGGCAGGAAAGAAGAGTTTTATCCTCAGAGGAGGGTAAAACACAGGGTCTCCTGCCCAAGAGGGTCAGGCGCAGATGAGTGAGCAGTGCCTTTCTATAAACAAAGGTTGAGTGAATGTTGGACTCAATTCAGGGACCCACAAATCTCTTCCTTGACACCACCCTCAGCACACGGCCAAGATGATTTTTACCCTCAAGACAGTTGCAGCTAATATTCTTCTCTGAGGAACCCCAGAGGAGAAACCTAGAGGTTCAGACATCAGGTTTTCCTAATAAGAGCATTTCAGCCAACTGAAGCAATGTCTTAAAGTCGACAGTTGACAATTGCCAATAACTCAGAAAATCTTTCCAGGTACCTTCTGGAGTCTCACTCTTTGATATAAATAGACAGCCCACAGACACCGAAAGGATGGCAGGATACTCATAAAGTCAGAACCCAGGAAGAACAAAGATGGGAGGGAAGTCTACAGCAACAGTAATTTATCACACACACAAAAATAGAGACCAAAACAAACAGAAAATGTACCTTGAAGGAAAGAAGAGAAAATGCAGAAGAAAAAAACTTTGTAAAAATGCCTAATATTCTCAGAGAGAAAATATTGTACCTATAAAGCAAGAAAAGAAAGCTATAAAAAGGGAGATATTTAAGGACCAAAAGAAAAAAAAAGCTCATGGAAATTAAAACTACTAAAAAGCTCAGCAGAAGGATTAAAAGATAAAGTTAAATAAATCTCCCAGACATAAAGGCAAAAAAAAGATAGAGGAGAAAAATTAAGATAATAAAAGGATATATATGGTCTTGCATATTCAACTTAGAAATAATGGGAATTTTACAAAAGACAGAATAAAAATAAAGAGGAAAGAGGCAGCCATAAAGACTCAAGAACATTCTCCACAACACAAGGTTATGACTTTCCAGATGGAGAGTCTCCCCACGTCCAGCACAATGGATAGAATTCACCCACGCCAAGATACAGCAATGTGAGATTCAGCAAATTGAACCTTCCCAGCTTCCAGATTTCCTGCAAAATCTCAGCAGTCAGAAGTACTTTGAACTTCTCAAAAGTGACACTGGGAGCTTAGAAGACAGAGCCTTCCAAATCCTGTGGGGGGAAATTGTTTTCAATATGGAATTTATTCCTCCAAATTCAGGAATAACTAGAATTTATCCCTCCCATTAAGTAATACTCTAATAGATGTTTTCAAATATGTGAAATCTCCGAATTGCACCTCCCACCAACTCCTTCCTAGGAAGACCCTTTGGGTTCTCTACCAAAGTGAGTGTGCAACCCAGACAGCACAAAACACGAAATGCACCTAAGAGGCCATGGACGTAGGACGCAAGAGAAGAAAACTTTCAGGGTGACAACAGAGAGAGCTCTGCAGTTAGGTTTGTATACAAGACCTGGAGGACAACACATCAGACTGTTCCTCTCCCGACAAAACTCTGGGAGAGACTTCTGCAGGAGGGTGAAAAGTCACAGATGTCTGAGGGTCTTGAGAGGAGAATTAGGCAATTGGGGAGCTCAATATTGAATTAGTGACAATTCCATAGAGAAAAGAAAAAGTGGAACAATATTCACTCTGATGACAACAGCGGCCTATAAGAAAGGAAAATATCACAGTTAATGACTTGACTCAGCTGAGGGTAGCACTTGCAGTTATAATAACGTAATTATTGAATAATGACCCAGGCAGAAGAGTGCTGTGAGAGAGGACGTATTTCTGCAGGGGAAGTGAATTGCCTAACTTCTGTAAAGGGAATTCAAGATATAATGGTGAAACATGAAAGATAAAAATGCAACATGTTATTTAGAGATAAATAGGAAGATTATCAGCTGAAAAGGTTGGAAGTGATGATTCTGGGGGAGGAAATTGAAAAGGGAGCAGAGACTGCTCTTTTCATAAAAGCGTCTTTTAGAACAATTTGATCCCTTAAATAGGGTGTGCGATTAACTATGATAAAAGTAAAGCTTTAGAAAATCATATCATTATGGACTAGATATGCCTGGAGATGCCGGGGCCACCTTACTACTGGGTAGAGAAGGCCTGCCTGACGCAGAGGCCCCCACTAGAAATCAGGGAATAGAGATGGAGAGTAAGACAGAGGGAGGGAAGGAAGGAGAGAGAGAGGGAAGGAGGGAGAGGAGGAAGGAGGAGGGAGAGGGGGAAGGAGGGAGGGAGAGGGGGAAGGAGGGAGGG